CAGAAACACGGTGTGACTGAAGCTTATTGCTGTAAATTGAACACTTTGACGTGCTAGGACAATTACTATGTAAATCTTTACTGGAAAAATGTTGTGTCGAGGTAGCTTTGTCATGGGCTTGTCAGCAGCTGGGTGCCCACTGCGTGCTGTAGTTTCTTGCATTAAAGAATGAGAAGGAAAAGTCAGATCTGCTAAGAGAGCATGTACTGACAGAGCTGGTAGAAGAAAGGTTGCAAGCTGATTCTATTTTGCTGTAACTTACTCTTTCTATAACATGAGAAAATTGGAGGTGGTCTACATTTATGATGAAGTAACTGCTGTAGGAGGCTGCTGCCTTGCTTTTTAAATGCAGCAGTGGGATGTCTGAAAGGCATTTAACTTCTCCTATGCTATTATGATTCAGAAAGCGCAGTTTAAAAGGTAGTTGATGTGTCTAGAAAGCACAGACCCTGGTAGCTGGCCAAGACATTGTTATTGGCATCCTTTATTGTGCATAAAATATTGCAGTTGTTTTATCCATGGGGTCAAACAAATTGCTGCTTTTATGAATCAACTTTTGCTGTGAAGTGGCTGAAATGGTGCCAGCACTCTCTCCTTTATGATCATTTTTGAAGCCTATTTTCTTTCATTTGTTCTACACAGCTGGTGGATCTCTGTACATTTCTGTTAGCAGAGAAGCAGAAAAGATGCAACAAGTTGTGGTTCTGCATCTTTAGTTAAGATATACAATATTGTAGGATTTTTTTTAACCTAAAACTCATCAGGGCATTAAACAGAGCTATCTCTATGCCTTCAAAAGAAATGATGTCTCTTGTTTGTTTCTGCCCAAGGTCAGTTTAAAGTGTTTCTCAGTGAGTTAAAACATGCGATGGCCCAGCTATAATAAGATAATGTAGGAACGGTGTTTAAGATAAGCAGGCTGTGGAGAGTTCAGTTTGTCAGTTCTGTATGCTTAAGATTTTACTATACAAATAATTTATTCATAAATTCTACCATAACTTTTTATTAAATAAATAAATCGTGATTTCATAGTTGCCAGTATCTGCTGATGTTTGTGTTAGGTCCTTATAATAAACAGTATTATATAGCTCTTTCCTATTTCTCAAAACATTGGGAAAACAACAGTATTTTTGGGGTTGCTGAAACACAGCTATATGGGAACAGTTTGGTCATAGCCTAAATCAATGATTGAGCACCTGGTGAAGGCATGTGACCAGCTCTGTAAGCACTGGTGTGAGCAGTTCACCTGTGTGACTAAAAAGAGTGGACTCTGGGTCCATCCTTCCCTTACCTCATCGAAGGGGTGGCAGCCACAAGGGAATGGTTTCTCTACAAGGAGATTGCCTTCTGTGGAGTATTTGGTGAGCCCGGATCCTTGGAAAGGAATAAGCTGTTCCTTCTTTATTACTGAATTGTTACCCTGCCTTTCTTTGGTGTTCTGCATCTGGTTGAAGGCAACCATATCTACTGGTACCTGTCCTTATAGCAGCTATGCTTGAAGTGGCATATCATTACAGAGTCATAGAATTGCAGGGATTAGAAGGGACCTCAAGATCATTGCATCTAACCCCCTGTGGAAGAAGGTACTCTATGATGGGTTGTGCAAGTAGGCATCCAGATGGATCTTGAATATCTCCATAGGAGGAGACTCCACAACCTCTCTAGACAACCTGTTCTAATGCAGCATCACTAGTTCTTCCACATGTTTACGTGGAGCTTTGTATATTCAAGTTTTAGGCCGTTGCTCCTTGTAATATCGCTGTGCACCACCAAGGAGAGCCTGCCTTATGAATTTGCCTCCTGCCTCCCTTTAGATATTTATAAATGTTAATCAGATCTCCCTCAGTCGTCTTTTCTGTAGGCTGAACAGACCCAGGTCACTTAGCCTTTCCTTGTACAGGAGATGCTCCAGGCCCTTTATCATCTTTATGGCACTCCTCTGGATTCCTTCTAGGAGATCCCTGTCTTTTTTGAACTGGGAAGCCCAGAACAGAACATGGTATTATAGATGTGACCTCACTAGGGGAGAGCAGAGAGAGGGACTAATCACTTCCCTCAACCTGCTGGCCATGCTCTTTTTATTGCAGGATGCCATTGACCTTGGCCACATGGGCACACTGTTGTCTCATGGCCAACCTATTTTCCACCAAAGCAGCACACAGTAAATTGTCCAATTACTGGGGGGAGGAGGGCTAAAAATAAGAGGAAGATATTTTGGCCAGAGAGGAAATCCTTAGTGCTTTGAAAATTAGTTTGGAAACAAATCATGCCCTAGTGTCCTCAGTTCTTAACATCCCCCGTGCAAGTCCATAGAGTACAAAGGGTAGTACTGTGTTGTTCAATTTGGTAAGAAATACCAATTAAATGCTCAAATAAATTGGAAGAAAAGTTTATGGAATGAAAGGCAAGACTGCTCAAGAAGAGCAATATCTGAAAGTGCAATTCAAGGTTGATAACTTTTTATTTGTGGTGATAATCTTGAAAATACCATTTCATCTGATTTATCCACAAGTTTGGTGCCAGTGGAGCTATACTGCATTGTCATATTAATTTTTCTTGTATGCACACACGTTTCTGTATAATGTTTGCTCAAGTCTAAATTGTTAATGCAGTTACATAATTATGAAGATTTGAGCAGGGGAATTGTATAATGTCCCTTGTACAGTACTTGCATGGCGTGGAAAAATACAATGAAAATTATGGAAGAATAGTCAAATAATGTTCTCTAATGCTAATCTTGGATGGTTATGCTTATGTCAGTAAGGGTAATGATGTTGAGTTTACATGCATACCCAAGACTGATTATTGAGAACACTATCATGATTTTAATACAATGGAAGCTGAAGCAAAAATTAAAAAAAATAATAATAATTAAAAAAAATCCACTGATTTCAAATATTTTGTCTATGGAATTGAGGGCAGAAAACTTATTAAATGTCATGGGAGCTTTTTTTTTCCCGCGTCTGTATGTTAGTATAAATATACACACATCTCATTCAAGTGATCTGGTTTACAACATATGCAAAATTAAGCTGCAGGCGTCAAATGACCTGTCGTCATCTTCATTCATTATTCAAATCCACTTTGTTCTCACAAATACTTTTACTTGTTAATCCAAGTGAAAATACTACCAGGGCAGAAACTGATCCCAGTGGAACCCAGCTAAAAATAGCAAATACCTTCCCAACAAAAATAAAAATAAAAAATTGGAAGACCTAGCAATCACACCTTTTTATTCAATCCACACTGATTTTTGTCTTTTTAATTTTTTAATCAGACAGTGATGTGGCACTGGAGCTCTCAATTAATACAATTGCCTGTGTGATCTGTTCATGAAAGAGAGGGTATTAAGTAATGTTGATTGACATCAACTATGTTAATAATCTTTTCTGTATTGAATTAGTTCTTCAAGCAAATCTTGATTTGATTGAAACTGTCTGGCTGAACTGCCTGCCTTTTTAAATCTTCCATCCTTTTTTGAAGTTGATCTTATGATTTATTTTTTTGATTTCCTAGTATCCCACGTTTAAACGTATCCAGAGAACACACTGACTTTCGCTATTCTGTCACTTAAGTTGGAAAAACACTTAGCACTGTGTATTCATTGAAAATTGCAACACATTCAAGTTGAGGCTGGTGACCAGAATACATGTGTGCAAGTGTTAGGATTTGCAAGATAGCTAAGAATTGGGTTCCCCTTTAGAAAGAACATATTTTTTAGAAAGAAAAAGCATTCTGGAGTTTGAGTATTCATTGTTGTGGGTTTGTTTTTGGTTGTTTTTTCTCCTCCAAATGAGATGATGAACTTTTGAATTTTAGAAACCTACCTAGTGGGAGCTAAAAATACTACAGGGAAAATCTTGCTTTCTGGAAAAGCATAAGATGTATGTGTTTTAATCCGATATTAACAGTAGTGGTTGGCTTTGATCAGTGGTTTTCTTGATTTGTCAGCTGACTCCGGTATCTGTAATTGGTTCCCTTTGTTTTACTCCATCCTACAGCTAAGTAGAAGAATTTTTACATGCTCTTGCAGAATAGCTGTACTTTTTGCAGTGTGTGTGTATGTTCTCCCAGCAAATTGCTTACTGAAATATTTCCATTAAGTTATTTATGCAAATGGATAGTCATTAATTTCATTGTTTCCGTGGTCTAGGAAGAAATGGCTGACAAATTTAAATACTATTTTTAGGAAAACATTTAAATAATGATTTTCAAGTAACACTTGTAAACTAGAAATGCCAAATTGGCTGCAAATAAATGTAAATCAACATTATAACCTATAGCAGTATTTGGTATGAAGTTATTTTTTCTAAAAAACACTGATGTTTGTCCTTGTAAATGGGAAGTCAAAGGTTTTGTCTGCTTTTTGTTGTCATTTTATCACAAAGCAGTTTGTGCGTGTTTGTATGGATACCTTGGTCAGAGTGTAATTTTTTCTTGGAGAAGGTGTAATCATTCAGTTTCACTGTCCACATTGGATGTGGCTGACAATGCAGTGCCATGCTGTTGGTAGAACGTGTCCCTTTCCTCCTTCTTTTCTTTTTTTTTTTTTTTTAATGCAAAAGATAATGATTTATCCATTTCAGTTACTAAGCATTATTATTGAAGCATTTTTCAGATATTAGGAGAAACTGAATTGCAAGACCATTATTTACTTTTCAAGAATAAGGGGATTCTTGGCATACACACACGAAAACTAGTTACTATTGAAAACATAAGTTTAAGCACTGTTACTAAGTTAGATACTGTTCAGTTAAGATGTCAGTGTAGTTTACATTTTGCTATTTTTGCCAGTTAGCACCTTCAGAATGTGTTGCTGCTGCTATATGCACAGCCTTTAGGATTGTTTTGGGTATCTAGATTGGAAGCTGGATTTGTACTTGTGGATACTGTTAATTTGTGTTGTGAATATGTCAGCTGAGAGGCCAAAATCGTTGGCAGTAAATGCCAAGGCAGACTTTTCTGTGCGCTTACACAACTGTTCTCTTCTCTCTCTCTAGCTGTAAGCACAAGGTGTACTTGGAAAAGCTACCAAATACCAGCATAATTATCCCATTTCATAATGAAGGCTGGACTTCCCTCTTGCGAACAATACACAGTATTATCAACCGCACTCCAGACAGCCTGATTGCAGAAATCATTCTTGTGGACGACTTCAGTGACAGAGGTAGGGCCCAAATGGTTTTGTTTGGAAATTTTTTGTGAGACATGGTTCCTGTTGAAATGAAAGTTTAAGGAAAAACTGAGGAAAAAATAATTGCTGAAGTGCTTTCCTGAACTAATGTGTGATGTTCCTATGGGGGGAGGGGGACGGACGACAACTTGTTTTTAATTTGATATAATCTTGCTTTTTTTGCCTCAATGGTGAAAAGAGATTGACTGTTCATCATCTTTATTGATATGGTATTTTGAATAAATTCTTTCTGAAATACTGTGAATTATTAGGGTTTGAACCTTTTTTTTTCCTTAATCCTGGTTTTCACTCAGAAAACCTTTAACTTTGGCCAGTTTGGATGTAATTCATTAGACTCCAATCCTGTAATTTCACTGAGTTAGTAAGCTTCATATTTTGGTACAAAGTGTCATACAGAGAAATGAGACAATTTTGACTAGAATGTAAAAAATTGTTTCCAAATTGTTAATCAAAGCTCATGGCATCTCTGTATGGCAAAATTAAGGAAAAATTACATCATCTAATGAATGTAGACATCATTACTTGAATGCAGTACAAGAATGGGATGCTGTAAAGTTCTGTGTATGAAATTCAACGGTTTCTTAAGTACGAGTCATACATGACTGTGTTATAGAATTTGGAAGTAATTTATTTTTTCAAATTCATGTATTTTTTATTTATTTATTTATTTATTTATTTTAGGGCATTAATCATGAAGTGCTTTGACTTGTTATTCTATTTGGTTTTGATTTTTTGGAGCGTTGGTTTCTACTGAAACATCAGTTTTTAATGTGTATGTGAGCCTTGTTCTGAATAGACTGATACATAGCAAAGGAGAACAAACCGTGCTCTGTGCTGATCTGAAAGGTTTGTCTCAGCTAGGAACTTTATAGCAACAGATTTCTGACATTACTGTAAGAAGCCCCTCAGTAAACAAGATGAAGTTTATAGCAGGGAAATAACTTGCAGGGAAGTCTTCAAGTTGGCTCTATGATATTTCTGATTCTGAGAGAGTAGCTATTGAGTCTTTTCTTGCTCTTTATGGTAATACTGTAGCATTTCTCTAAGGCAGGTCTTACTGACTTTTTGTTATATGCTTTAAAATGTGTATTTTAGAAAGCTTCTACTTCCCAGTTACTAGAACAAATATTAATGCTATTGATCAGGAATTTTCTATCTCTTTTCATATATAGATATTATATCTCTATAATATCAATTTCTATAAAAATTATGTCTTCCTCATTTCAGGTTGTATGAGCTTATCTTCTCAGTGGAACAGTTTTCAATTAGAAATGATTTATACAGCATGGAATTGCCTGTCATAGTGTCTGTTTTGAAAGTCTGAAAGAAACCTATTAAGAAGGTTTGAATGGAGTTAGGCCTGGAACTATTGTGCTGTGAGGAGAAACTTTGCTCATCTCTTGTTGTTGCTATTATTAAATGCACATTATAAATATATTCTTGAATGGTTGCCAATTTTGAGTTTGAGCAGAGTTGTTAGCATAGTCGTGTTTTGGGAAGTTTTTTTAACGTGCAAGGAAAATGCACTAATATTTCAACTATCTGAATCAAAAAACTTTGAACTTCAAGTTACATAGAATCATTTTGGTATCTTTACTATGTTTATTTCTTGTATTTGTTACAACTTAAACTGTGTCTTAAATGAGGCCATATCAAAGGATTCTTGTGCTTTTTTTTAACCTTATGAAGACACATAGTACAGATGTTTTGTGTTGAAAAAAGTCTGATACACCTTCCCAACTCTCTACTTCCAGTTCATAACACAATCTTTTCAAAAAGTGTTTGAATAACTTCCTAATGTACTGCTATTCTTTTTCCTATTGATGAAATATATCATGTTCAATTGCTGTACAAACATGTAGAAGCATAGCGAGCAAAGTGCAGTGTTGAAATGGTATGGTGATAAATCTGTATCCAATTTTGTAATACCTTACTGAGACTTTATGTCAAAATGCTACTACTTGCTTTTACGAAATGAGTTGTAGCGTATGCGTTATCACTTAATTAGCACTTATGATTTATACTTGTTTTAAAGCTTAGTATTTTAAAGGGTTTTGTACCAGGAACCTAAACATACTTTGTAGATAGTTGGAAGTGAGAATGAGGTGTTTCAGTAGTGCTGTTATTTTAACTGTAGAGATTTAAAAGTCTGTGTTTTTCTCTGGGGTTTTCTACTAAACAAACTTACCCTTTTCACAACAGTTTAAGAAGAAATTGTTACCAAGAGACAGTCCTTGTTAGAACTTGAGCAGATGAGAAAAAGTAGGAACTTTAAAGGGGTGTTAAAGATAAAAACATTGTAGCTTTTTATTTTCTTAACTAATGCAAATATAAATATGGGTATGCGCATAAAGATCTTTTGATAATGGATGATGAAAATGTTACAGTGCATAGCCAGGTACCCAGCAGTTTGCTGATTTGTCGGCAGAATTACTTCTGCCTTCATTTTATTCATATTCGTTACTTTGTCTCTTGTGATCATAGTAAAAAACTTCAGATAGCTCACACATAATATTCACCATAAATTATGATAGCTAGGTGAAAGTGAAAGGAGAGCTGCATCGTTTTAAATGACTACGTAATGCAGATTAGAGACTAGGTAATAGGAATGGGGAAGTAAGCAAATGTTACAAAGTTTGAAAACCTGCTGCACTGTCACAAGAAGAGACAACATAAAAAAAAACAACATGATTTTTAAAATGTCTTGGCAGACAGAAGGAAGATTTAAATTTTGTAAAAATACCTTCATATGATTTTTAGAGAGTTCATATACTAAAGGAATATGGAGGGAAGAACTTTACTACGACAAAAGGGCGGTGGTTTTTTTTGTTTGTTTATGTGGGTAATTTTGTTTTTTTTTTTTTTTTTAATTTGCATTTAATGAACAAATTATATACTGGAGACAGTGAAGGAAACTCAGTCCTTGAGTTTACAGGAGTACTATGACATTCATGGATGCTCTGTGGAAGGTAGGGGAGTATTAGACTTAATCTGCCTCGGAAAGCTCTTGGTAAGACAACGGTGTGAGCTGTTTTCTGACTGACATCTGAGAATGATTTTACTTTTTCCAGTTGACTTGGCAGTCCACTCTTCATTAGAGACTTCCACTGAATTTTCATATCTCAGCTCTAGGTTCAAGTGCAACAGCTTTTCCACAGAGGGCTGTTAATATTGCTTCATTATTAATAGTAATTTATTGTTATTTAGCATGCACATTTGCATGGTTAAAGTATGCTGAGTATTTCTAACTCTGTGATGGATTTGGGTTTGCAAATGATTCTAATATCTGATTCATGCTTGCAAGTCGTATATTTCAAACCACATCTAAATTAAAGTCCTATTAATTTTTCTAAGTATTGCATGACATGGAAAACGAACAACTCTTTGTTGATGTGGAATCTGTGAGATGTCTCTGCAGTGGTTTTGTGTGCACATCCCGTTAGCCGGGCTTTTGGGACAGTAAGCCACGTAGAAAGGTTTTGTGTTGTTTTATTGTTTTGCTTTGTTTTGTTTTCCTGGAAGGGCTTTTTTTTTGCTGTGTGTGAGGTGACTTGTTTAGAGAAGAAGGAGGTTGGCATGCATGTGAGTTTTATATCAGGAGGGAGAGAAGTTGTTGCTGTTGTTAGCTCCGAAGTTGCTGTATGGTGGCCGGATAGCTGTAACAGTGGCAAAGAGCAGAATTTGGGCAAGAGTTTTTGAATTAAAGATAAAACTGAACAGGAAGCTAGCTTTCATTTATTCAGTTACAGAACAGTTTGCATTCACAAAGGAATCCTAAAAACCCTAATACATTTTTCAAAACTCTGAGACCAGATAGGTTTGCATCACTAACTTCTGCCTGTGGCAGGTGGGTTAGAACTTGACAACCCTCGGAGTCCCTTGCAACCCAAGCCATTCTATTGTTCTTTGATTCTATTCTGTTGTTCTTTGATTCTGTTAATGTGTTCAACAAGTGCTGTAGGTTGCCAACATCTTTGCGGATAGCTTTGCACATTGGTTTTTATACCTTTTGTGTTTTAGTCAGCCCTGAGAGCTGCTAATGAAAGTTTGTGCCTGTGCACATAAACTGACTTAACCAAGCACTTTTTAATTCTTGTTGCTTATACTTTATCCTCATAGGAGTTACACCAGCTAGAGAGCTATTGTAAGATAAATATAGTGCCACCACCAACAGTGAATTTATTACCAGTAATAATTATTAAAGTTTATTAACTTAAAAAATATATATATTCTTCTAATGGGGGAGGAATGAAGAAAGATTACAGACTTAGTAGTCAGCACCTTCTTGCAGGAAAGAACTAGTTTCTGTCACTGTCAGTGAACTTGTATTTTGGTGAAGTATAGCTCACTGGGAAATATTAATTTATGTTGATAAGCTGGTCGCTTCTCATTTTATCATCTGTTATGTTCTCAAGGCTCTGTCCCTTTGCTTAGTTCTGTTTTCTGCACTGCTGCTCGTTTCATGCTTGGAGTGCCATAATGTCCCATATCATATAGCATAGGCTTTATGCCAGATCTCTGTTCTGTGAATAACCCACATTAATAATGTGTAGGTCAGCTGGAAAAAAACAACCAGATACATTGATTGATCAGGGCCTGATTTACTTGGCTGGTGGATTTAAATGCGTGTGAACAAGGAGAAAGATCTGATCTACCCTAATTACCCAGTTATCATAATAGCCTGACAAAGCCTTTCTGGCCTTTATAGAGGTTGTCTGATGTCCTGTTTTTTTGTATTTTAATCTGTACTTCTTTAACTGAATGTTGTTGTATATTGATAGGGTAGGGAGTATGTGCTAGAAGCAAAGCAGCTCAGGATGTTGGATAGCATGTATTTCCTAAGTGGCAAGTTGTGTTTTGTTGCATGAAGATGTATTTTAACTCTGGATGACTAGTTTATGTAACATATCACTTGTGATTCCAGTTTATCGATGCTTGGCTTCAGATTATGGGCAAATAAAACTTTTCTGATC